ATTTGAAAGTGTCATGTTGTAAACCTAAGCTGCTACAAAATTACTAACTTTAGCGGAATTTATTGCCATCTAAGACCATCACAGCAAAGTGCAAAAGTTTTAAAAGGAATTAAATTAATTAAAGGAAAGAAATAAAATACATGATGTAGAGAATTATATATACTGAAGTGTTGCATATATTTTAATCTCTTTTGCGCTCTCTCTTTTAAAGGAAAGTGGCACTTGAGGCTGCTATTAGAAAGAAAATTGAATTTGAGAAAAAAGCTTTGCATATTGTTGAACAACTCCTGGAAGAAGATATTACAGAAGAGTTTCTTATGAATTGTGTAGGTATTTCTTTTGTAAATTTTTTAATCCTAGTTTGCATCTTAAACAAATTTAAGGTTCTTATTGGCTCTTGGAATGAATTATTAGGCTTTTAGCCATTCTTCAGTCCAACTTCTCTTTTAGTGCTAACAATGATCACTCTTATTTTCAGTGATTCCACAGTGGAAATATATGCATCCTATTTGTATAGGACCTGATTTGCAACTTTTCTTAACATTAAGTATCACATTAGTCCTGCTATTTTCAGTGGCAGTTACATTTCAGATTGAGGAATGAGGTATAAACAGTGAGGACCAGATCATCTTATTTATGAGTTGGGTTTTTAGGGAGAGTCTGAGACAAGGTAGAAATTACTGGAGTTGTGGTTGCTCTAGTTCTAGCTGAGGCTCTATAGAAAAGATGCCATGGCCCAACTTGCACATCAGTCCTTTGCAATGCTGTGCAGAATTCAAAGGGGGGACAGTTTTTAGCTCAGCTTTCCTCCCATACAGCTAAGGAGAGAAAAATGTATGTAGAAGACCTGCCTGAATACAGATCCGGGTCACTTGCAGAGTCTAGTCTATGAAGAATACGTTATGTTGCAAGCACTAACACAAGTGTTAAACTGAAAGTCTTGTGAAGAAGCCTGTGTAATGAAAAGAGGACTGCTGTGTCATATTTTCTGTTGTGTTGTTATAATAGCGTACAGCAAACATTTTTAAAATTGAATTCTGAATTCATTGCACACGAAATAATCTCTTTTCTGTTTGATGCTGAAAGATGTGTACTATAGCTTGGATATTCATGAAAAGTATTTCTCTCTTGCTGTGTCTTGTGTGTGCACATACACACACATCATAGTTGTGTCAGTTTGTCTAGTGTTATCATTGTCTTTATATGACTTCCTGCTG